TTTTTTTTAGGAGGGTTAAAAAAAAGAAACATCATTCTATTGCCCCAAATTGCATATAGAACTTCAAAGAGTGACCTATTCCCAGATATAGCAGAACTTAGGTGGCAACGGGAATGTGTCACCTTTTGAAACATAAGGTCTTCAGATCCCCAGGCCTGCATATCTCTTCATTGTACTTTGGAGAATAGTAGGATTAGGAGTAAAGGAGTATTAAATATAATATAATACCATTTTCACCTGAGAGTAATTAATATTTCTGGCCATGCAGACTATCACATGGCAGGAGTCACAGTGACAAGAAGTGAATGACGAGAAGACAGACTCCGGCTATACTGAAATGTTCAAAGCCTTGCTTTTTTCACAGTTGGCCGATTAATTCATTTTTAGAATTTGGACTTCTCAGGGGCAGAGGTTTTTCTTCTTTTACATTAAATATACTCTTTTCCTCACACTGTTCAGTTACATAATAGGGCGAGTGCATGTGCAGAGTCATGTCTTCTTAGTATTAAAACACAAGGTTATATCCTCTACTTTCAAAGTTACAGTGTTTTGTGATATTACTAATTTTGGACACAACAAATAAGACATTACCAGAAGTACTTTCTGGGCAGAATAAATATGTAGCTGTTCTTAACAGAGTTTGTTGTTACATGTAGCTTTGATTTCCTATCCCCCTCCCTCCAAGAACTGTATGAGTGTTTGTTTATAAGCTCCTACCCTATCTTTGAATGTTAGAACTTCAAATGATTTGTGTATTCTGTAGTTACATTTTCCAGATTTTTCTGGCTCTGTGGCTTTGGTTGGAAAGGTGTTCCTCTCCTTCCTTTGACCCATTCTGTTTACAGCGTTTCACTTCAGTTCATCAGACAGCACCTGATTAGGTGGCCTTCTGTCATCTGTCCCCCACACATCTCTCCTGGCTTCAGCACTGTGGGGCTGGCTGCCCTCCAGAACCTCATCATGAAAGCAGCTGTCCTGACAGGGGAAAATGAATTCGGTTCATCTTTCAATATTTTCAAGGAGTTGGACTTAATGTCACAAAGAGGTCAAAGGCTTAGTCACATTTAAAGTGCGACATGATGGCATCCTGAAAAATATTTAACTTATCAGGCAGTAGTGTTTCTCTAGAAGAATAAAGACCATGAAAATGGGCAGACATGTTTTGGAATACCTGCTCTCCCATCTTTCTAGCTACATACTGGAAATACTAACTGTAAAGTTCCAAGTCCCAAACAAGTTGCCTGGCACAGTAAAGCAGGCTGAATAAATTTTTGTTCTCTTTAAAAATGTATTAAATATTTACAATGTGCAAGGCAAGGTTGGATAACTGGAATGCTGGATGGTATCAAAATATTATAAGGTGGATACTCAGGGTAGTTTTAGGGGATATCTTGGTGAATTCTGAGCTCAAATCCAGGCTAGAAATTAAAAAAAAAATTCTACATTGCAAATCTAGGGGAATAAGAATTCAGAGAAGGGAGAGATTTCTGTCAGTGGAGGGATAAGGCAAAGCTTCATGGAGGGGGTGGCACTTGATATAAAAGCTGAAGAAATTCTTCCCTTCGCTTGCACTCTAGTGACAGTGATTTGGACTTCACAGGGATAGAAAAAGGATACTGAAGTGATGGGAAAAGAGTTGAGCAAATGAAGTTAATGTAGGACATGTTTGGGGAATCGGTGATGGTCGAAGTTGGCTGGACTAAAGTCCACATTAAAGGGAAGGTAGGAGATAATTTTGGAAATATAGGGTAGGTGTATTTTGAAGGACCTGAGATCTCAACCTATATGAGAAGCATAGCGTCATGGGGGGAGACCCTGGCTATGGATCAGGAAGCCTAGACTGTCTTCGAGGCACCTGGTAAGGGATGGCGGAGCACCAGGGTTCTGGAGGTACATTGTTCTGAGTTCAAATCTCAAAGTTTCCTCTTACCAGCTCTGTGATATTGAGCAAGTTATTTTCTCTTTCTAGCCTCAAGTTGCTGATTTGTTAAATGAGAGGATTAGAGTATGTCTCTTGAAGTATAAATTTGTTTGTTTATAAATTTGGTTGTTGAGAAATGGCAAAGGTTTTTCATACAAATGTAATTTTTTTTTCAAGTGGAACTGTTTAAAAGCTTGGGAATGAAATAATCAAATGAAATACTCAGATAACTCTTTGGTTTCTATTCCATTGCTAAGGATTATATGATCCTAAGGAGATGGACCTAGGAATACTATCTAGGACAGTTTGAAGGGATAAAAGACTGAAGGTGAGGAAATCATTTCACATTGGGCCTAAAACAAAATGGGGATTTGAAGAAAGTTAGTAGCAATTTTTAAGGGAGAAGGGAAATCACAAGACAGATATGGCAGTGGTACAATCCAAAGAATTTGGCACCTGACTGAATATCAATTCTGCAGCTGACAATCGCGGGAGTATTGCCTTTTTTAATTTACACATTCTTTTATATTAAATCATATAAGTAACCTGATTTAGTGATGACTCTTCAGTCTGCATTACTGAAAGAGAGTTTCAATGTATGTGGGGTTCCTAGTGATGTAGACTGGTACATGTTATTGGTCCAACGAATATTTATTGTGGACCTAGTGTGTGATAGCGAGTGTTCTAGGTGTTGGGGACATGGCAGTGAGCAAGAGAGACAAGGTCCTTGCTCTTGTAAAGCTTGCATTCCCAGACTGTGATGGAAGGGGAGAGAGACAACAAACAAATGAAGACAATAGCAGCTAGGGAGGAAAAAAATAAAAAGTGCTGTGAAGAAAATGAACCAAGCTGATGTAGTAGGGAGTGCCTGGGAGACTCATGAAGAACTCCCTAGGAGGATGTATTCACATTGACAACTGAATGATCCAAGGAACCAGCAATATGGAGCCGCAGGGCAAGAACATTCCAGAAAGAATGAACAGATAACACAAAGGTGCAAGGATAGGGATTATGGTTCTGTAGGTTTCAGGAATTGAAAGAAACCAGCCTGGCAAGGGCAGAGTGAGTTAGGGGGAGGGGAGTAAGAGATGCCAGGACAATACATGTGTTGACAGCATGGGGCCAACTCCAAAACTCATTTCTAGTTTCTTTTTGGCTTTGTTGCACGTTTACAGCCCAGTAGATAACATCCCTTGCAGCAAAAGTAGTTAATGAAACCACAGCCAGTCTCTTTTTCCGTACCAGCTGTTGGGGATATGTGGAAACTCTCCGCTTTTCAGAGGAGAAAAGTGGGGCTCAAAGATGCTTAGCTACTTGCTCAGTCACTCATTTTGTAAATGGAAGGGCCAGGACTCAAATCAGGTCCTATGACTTCCTCTCCTCACGGTGTCACTTTCCCTTCTTATGTAATTCTAAAGAATAACAGAGTGTTATTAACCTCTTATCAGACAGCCTGCAGAAGCGTCTGTAACTCCAGATAGCTGTTTTAACCAAATGACAGTGTAAGAGTCCTCTGCTTATGGCTGACAAGGTGACACATGCTTGCTGCAGAGGTACAAAGGTACAGAGGTAGAAGGGAGTACCTATAGGCAGAGAACTGGTAGAGTGATTATGTACTTGTTTTCTTTTGCTTGGGCATCTAAATAGCAACCTCTTGCTTTAATAATCTCATGATTTGATAAGTTTCCAACAAAATCAGTTTTATGTATCTGCACTGAATGGACTGAATATGCCATTGTTTGGTATTTTAAAACAATGAAATGTGGTAAATAAACTGGCACTTACACATGAGCACTAGATTAGCTATTTCTGCCCCTTGCCCCTCCATTAAGCTAACCGCCAGGCCTGGGCCATTAAAATCCAGCCTTCTTTCGTTTCAATTACAGCCACACATAAATTGGACATTCTGAGCTTTTCTAATAGGGCCATTTTCAGGGTGGATTGGGAGCTTTCTTATAGGTGTCTCCTCTCGTTTCTGTTCCCATCCTAAGGTCCTCTCTGCTACTTGCAACTTTGAGTTCTGAACATGCTTATTTCAGAGGCAGTTGGGATCTCTGTTTATGATGCATCCCCAAATCCAGACATCCGTTTACATGAGAGCCCTAGTCATATTACACTTCTCTCAGAGAGCAGCATTTGCTGTTTGCAGGGGGCTTTCTGCCTGATGCAGGGGGGCGAAGAAATGTTGGCTGGCATTTGGGAGCAGATTTAGAGTCGCTTCTCATTGGAGGGTCTAGCTTTCCCCTGAGTTGCTAGACACTGCAGGCTCAACTGAGGCGCGGAGGTGCAATTCAGGCTGGTGGATCAGCGGAGGAAAGCAGGGACAGGCGGGGCTAGCGCGGCTCTGCAGCTGATCACACACACCAGCACATATGCCGCTCTCTCGCCGCTACCGCTCACGCCTCGCGTCTTCCGCTGGAGCCACCTAGACGCGGACAGGGTGTAGCGGGACTGAGCAAGGAAGAGGCAAAGGAAAGCAGTGAGCAGAGGAAAAGCTGGGCCGGCGCTAGTATTTAACCTGAAAGTCTGACCAACAGCCGGAGGCTCGAACCCCTTACAGCAGTGCCACTGCCGCCTGCTAGGAAAGCACCGCGCCAAGGAAGCCCCAAGTCCTGCGCCTAAGTCAGTCTGTGCCCGGCGCGCCAGGATCCTTCTGGGCTGGGCAGAGTGCCTTCTGGAAGGTGCGGAGCTTGGGGGACCTGCATTGGCGCCCATCGTGGTACACCAGGAAAGGTGGGGGCGAGGACTGCAGCCCCGAGCGCAGAGCGCGAGGCCAGGCTGCCGCTGCCGCCTGCTGCGCCGTCTCCTGCCCTCTCCCGCTGGGTGAGTGCTCTGGTTTCGCGCACCACTGCGTCTCCGCTGCGCGCGCGGGGGCGGATTGGGGGCCCTTCAGGGTCCGCCCGAGGGCCCTGGTGGCGCCCACGGAAACTGGGCGGCCAGCGGACGCCAGGAAGACACGTCTCTGGAGTCCGGAGTAGGAGACTCTGAGCCAGGAGGGCGTGGGTAGGGGGTGTTGCACCAGTGTCCGGCAGACATGCTTTTGGGCGGAATTTTGGCCAAAAGATAGGAGATCGGGGAGCGGCGGGGAGGGGGGAGGGTCTGGTCCAAGCAGGTAGCGCAGCTGGGGCAGCCTGGTGAGTTGGCAGGTGGGTTGGGACTCGCTTGTCAACTAATTAATTTAAAAAGAGTCAGTTTGGGAGTGGTGTAGGATAGTTAGGAGGGGTGGAGGAAGGCGAGAGGTGGCTCGGGATGCCGGTAGTGGGGTAAGAAAAGCGAAGCCTCGAAAAGCTTGGAGGCAAAATTGCGCTTGGGTTCCTGGTTTTGCATCCCTCCTGTCTTGAGTGCGGGAGAACACTTTTTTGGGGGGGTTTTGACTCAGCTTGGGAGGAAAGCCACCGTCCCAGGGGAGGAGAGGCGACTATCGGGGGCAGAGACAGCCGCTACCTGTCGGGTGCGCCCCCTCAGCCCAGGCGCGCTCGCTGTTGTCCCCCCTTTCTCCCCCACCCCCACCTCCTTATTGGTGCTGGCTGGCAGCGCTCAGCTCCGGTGCCTTCGCTTCGCGTTTGAATCTGGCTCTCCCCTCCGTATTATGTCTGCACTCCGAAGGAAATTTGGGGACGATTACCAGGTAGTGACCACCTCGTCCAGCGGCTCGGGCTTGCAGCCCCAGGGGCCGTGCCAGGGCCCGCAGCAGCAGCAGCTTGTGCCCAAGAAGAAGCGGCAGCGGTTCGTGGACAAGAACGGCCGGTGCAATGTACAGCACGGCAACCTGGGCAGCGAGACGAGCCGCTACCTCTCGGACCTCTTCACCACCCTGGTGGACCTCAAGTGGCGCTGGAACCTCTTCATCTTCATCCTCACCTACACCGTGGCCTGGCTCTTCATGGCGTCCATGTGGTGGGTGATCGCCTACACTCGGGGCGACCTGAACAAAGCCCACGTCGGCAACTACACGCCATGCGTGGCCAATGTCTACAATTTCCCCTCTGCCTTCCTCTTCTTCATCGAGACCGAGGCCACCATCGGCTATGGTTACCGCTACATCACCGACAAGTGCCCCGAGGGCATCATCCTCTTCCTGTTCCAGTCCATACTCGGCTCCATCGTGGACGCCTTCCTCATCGGCTGCATGTTCATTAAGATGTCCCAGCCCAAGAAGCGCGCGGAGACCCTTATGTTTAGCGAGTACGCGGTGATTTCCATGAGGGACGGGAAACTCACGCTCATGTTCCGGGTGGGCAACCTGCGCAATAGCCACATGGTCTCCGCGCAGATCCGCTGCAAGCTGCTCAAAGTAAGTGCTGCCCGCCCCCGTCCCCACCTGGTCCCCGCCAGCCCTCGAGCTCGGGACTTAACTCACCTGAGAACCACCCCAGCCCCCTAGCCTGCCTTCTCGCCACAGGTGAACTTCTTTTGGGGAGGCGCGGCTGGGGGCTTAGGCAAAGCGAGCACAGCTGACAGTTCTGTTCTTTTCCCCACTCACTCTCATGCTCTTCTTTACATCCATCGCTCGGATGTGCTCGTGTCGCTTTCTGAGTTACTGACACTTACGGAGTGGTGTTAGCTCCTGGAGCCCTGAGGTAAAGGAGGGTGCCCTTTTCCCCACCTTACCCTTGCTGCTTTGCTCTTTAGAGCTATTTTCATGTGTTATCAATACACTACTTCCTTCACTTCGGAGTACTAAGACTGAACAGCTTTTATTTTAAAGAACTAGGTGTTGAACTCGCCTCAATTTTCACTTAGGGCTTTTCTTTTTTTTTTTTTTAATTTCTCCTTCCCCCCCCCCCACACACACACTAATAATATCAGCAGGTGGATTATTCCTCTAGACACAATCACATTAACTCTATGGTCACAGGAGAAACAGTGGAAGAAACAACACAACACCTGGTTCTTTAAATTTTTTATTTTTACTAAATATTTTCCTAGAGAAGTATTCTGTGAAAGCGTGAGTGCTTTTTCCTGTAGAGCCTCTTGTTAATTTTATTCTCAATTGCCTGTTTCTATGAAGTCTTTGTCAATTACAGATTTCACTTGAAGCTTTTCAGCATCCATTAAAGAAGATTGCTCCCTACCATCAGCAGTGTAAATGCTAAACCCAATTGCACGGAGAGTGGTTATTAAAGCAAGGTTCATCTAGTCGTTAGAGGGCACCACTAAAAACAAGAAGAGAAGCCCACCCTAATCACTCACCCAATTAGAGTCTGGGAATGCTGGATAAAAGCCCAGTCCTCTGTGTGTTATTTATAATTCATCTTTTTGAGAGATTAGCCTTAGGTAGTTTTCAAATGTTCATAAATTGAAAAAGATGACCTCAAATAAAATCTTAAAAATGATCTGAGATTGCACAAAGAACCATAGCCAGTTTCAGAATTTAGCAATTAATGAAAATCTGATAAATACATTAAGTTGAGGTTTTGTCTTTGAAATTTCAGTTTCCACTCTACAACTGCATATTGTTTTACACAGCCTCAACTTATGTTGTAGTTAAAAGTGACCCATTGTGCTATAAAACAAAGTTTGGCTTTTGTATCATTTTCATTATTTCTTTAGAAGATCTTGCCCTAATTACCCTTGACCATATTGCCCAGTAAAGGGTTAGAATTTAAGCAGTTCAGTTGTCCTATTGCTCCACATCATATGCACATTTACTAAGCTACAGACAGTAAATAAACTGAATTTTGTATAGCATAGTGGAAAATTTTCAGCCTAGTTCTGGTGTGCACATTCATTAAGGTAACCGTAAATAAATAGAGTAGATCATATTCTTTATAATTAGCTTCAATGAGCTGCATATAGTTTTTTACTTAACTTAGCATGTTGTGTTATTTCCCTGTTTGAACTAAGCAAGTTGTTTTGATCAGGCTAAGCAGTTGTGTTGTAGACATGTTTATTTCAATGGTATTTTTTGTTGTATGTGGTTTTTTCTAGCAATAGAAAAAGATACATAATCTCTCTTTATAGGTTAGGCCTACTTGGAAGATAGAAACACTTTCTTAATACAGGGCAAACGTCTGTCAAGGAATCAATGTTTATATGTCACTTTGAGATTCTTATTGAAGAGTAGTTTACCATATTGATTCGTCTATTGGAAATTTAAAATTAGACTTTAAAGGTCATTTTAAATGCTGTTCTCTAGTTTTTCAAACATGTAAAGTTATTTATTAAAACAAATATCTTTTCAAGGCAACGTATTTTAGATATTTTTAGACATTATCAAGTTTTATTTTAACAAAGCCAGAAATAATGAAAATTTATCTACACACCACTTGGCTTTTTTGTTTGTTTTGTTTTGTTTCTTTAACAAAGGTACATAAAGCTGAAATACCTAGTCTCTACAGCGGTTCAGAACATTGATAATGACTTTTATACCTAAGGCCATGTATCATATATACCATAATGAGTGTCCTTAACAAAGTAAAAGACTTATAGTGTTAGCAAAGTTGGAGCAAGGTGCTATATTAACACAAGGTGATAAAAAAATATCTAATTAAAATAATATGTATAATAGACCTATAAAATTCTTTGCTTTTGATTTGTTAGGAAGATGTCAGTGCTAGAAGTTAAAATGGTTGACACCTGGCATCAATTTATATTTAAACAAAATTATGGCGAAATCCTGTCTTGCTTTTTGTGAAGCAGGAGGGTTGATCAGTGGCAGCTCTTTATCCAGCCAGTTACTGTAGTTTGTTTGAAGTTGATTTTTCCTGTAGCCATGGTAATTAAAATGAATTCTCATAGTTCTCGTCATTCCCTTAGACTTCATTAAAAAAAAGTCATGTTTTATTAGGGAATCAGCAAAATTAGGTGGGAGACTGCTTTTAATAAGTTACTCTCATTTTCTTTTATGGACTGAGATGAAATGACCTAAAACAGCCAACTATATTTTAAAAAAGAAGCTTATAGTAATAATATTTTGATACCAGTCTTATACATTTTATTAAATATTACTACACATACTCAGTTTTTTCCTTTAACCTGTTTGCCATTTTAAATTAAGATATATGTAACTTTAATACAGAGAAATATACAGAATTTCAAGGCTAAAAAACATAATATTTTAGTATAGTAATTATAGTCTATGTATGTTCCTCTTACCTAATTTAATTTCATCTATATTTTTCTATTGCTGTTTTCTTATTTGCTGAACTAAATCCTATTTATCAATATTAATATAAAATTTATATTTAATGACTATAAAGCATTTTCTATTCTTGGGAAGACAGTTAAGAACATGAATATGGCTTTCTAATCCTTAACATTATGAAATCTTCCATGCGTGTATCTTTTGAATTTTCTAAGTTTTGATGGAAGTTTTTTTTATAACTTCTCTGCCTAATTTTTAATTGTTATTCACTTATATGAAAGTAAATTTTACTTCAACTCAACTCCTGTTTTCCAAGTTTGCAAATACTGAAATTTATTTTGATATTTAAATATAGATTTTCCAATTTTATGCTTGGAGCATTCAGTCCTTTTCCTAGTCACAAAAAAAAAGAGATGAAATAAAAAAAAATTAAAAATATATAATTTGAAGTTATTTTTACTTTACTTTAAAATGTATGTTTATTATAAAGACAGCTATAAAAAGCTCTTTGAAGATGAACGTTCTTTCTCTTTTCCCCTTCTCATCTCAATGTTGATGTTCCGTTTGAATTTTCAATTTATTTTAGTTGTATTTTTTTAACCTACAATATAGGAACTAATGAATAACATAATCATGTTAAGTTAATATATCATCCTCTTGAAAGTTTTAATAAAGATGCCTGGGTTAGGGAGTTGAGACTAGTGGCTGAAAAGTTGGACACCATGTTTTAAGGTTGAGTATAAAGGATTTGGAAATTTCACTCTTTTCTACTTAAGATTGACTACCCTATGCTTACATCTTGTTAGGGGAAGATTGAAATAATCTTTGATACATTATTCAAGAATTTACAAACTTATTCAGAAACCACCATATGTATTATATATAGGCACCCAGTTAAACCTTATTTACATAAAGTAAACATAAAGTGAACTATTGTTTGGTCCATATCTTTATGAAAGAGATAAGGATATTTTTTCTTATGAAAGTGTGATTTTATTTTTATTTGTATTCATTGCTAGTAGTCATCATTTTTCTTTCCTAGGTGATCAGCTGTGCAACCCTTAACTTTCACTTATTGAAAAGTAATGGTGTGTAATCATCTTCTAGTGCAGCACATAAATTATTTTTGTACTCACTTTTTAAATTCTTCATGTATATAGATACTCAAAACTGGATGCTATCTAGTTTTCTTATATAAATGTGATCAAGTGTAGAGGCAATAAAAAAAATGTTGTCTGCCAACAATAAGCTCTTTATGCTCTTCATATGTCCTAACAGTTTGTCAATACTTTAACCACAGTGATTCCTGGACCACGTGATTCCTGAATTCTTTCATATATTTATTAGTTTGTCTGCATTCCATACCTTGCACTTAAATGCAATTATGCTTTTGACTTTGTATGACCTTAGTTTGTATGATTTGCTCTTTTTACCAATTGACCTTGGCCAATTTGCATTTTAGTTTTAATCTTGAGATAGTTACCTCCTTTTTAAAAAATTAAACCCACAAATGAGTATCTATTTAAAAATGGTTCTTCTGAACATCATACAAGCCGTTAGTAAAAATAATCAAGGAGTCCAAGACTAAGTACCCCAGAAGTCTTGGGGCTAGATCCTATAATGTTGGTGAGTTTTTTAGGGGAATTATGACTTTAAAAAAAAAGTATAATTCTTATTTAGTCTAGCTTTGCTGTCTCTGACACAAATACAATAATTCTCCAATAGGTATAGAACGTGTGTTCTTTTTAAAATCTATAATTTTTTAAATAGTAGTAACATGTTGTTTTGTTCTTTATTTTTAATATAGTTCCTGAAAGTACAGGGTAGCTTGTGCTCAGGGGAATGCATTGTGAACAGAAAAAAGGGAGGGCATAAAGACCCACAAATAAACAGTGGTAGGTAAGGACAAATGGTAAAAGAGAAGCAGGAAAAAGCATTTGCTCAATTTTAGGGTGTTTGGTGAGTAGGAGAGGAATGTGTAAGGTTATAAATCCTTTCCATAGTTATTATAAATTCCATAAAAGGGCCTCAAGGAATTATGAAGCTGTTCTTTCATTTGAATGGTATAAAAGGCTCACATAATTTATTATACGTAAATTACATTTCATTTTATAAAGTGCTTTCTTTTTATAAAAATGAACATATTTTATGAGATAAGTAGCTTACATTAAAAATCTTTATATTTGATTTAATGGGGATCCCATGTTTTCCACCTGAGTATTGATGGAATTTCAAGCTTCAGGAGTCAAAAGGAATGCTACAGTTTAATTGTAGATGGTCCAAATAGAATTATCGGTCCACATAACTCCTCTACCTGACTTGAATTTTGGCCTGAGTCCCAAAACCATTGCTAGAACTGCTTTGAGTCACAAGGCATTTTTGTTCCTTATCCTGGTACCACCTTTTAGCTCATTTCCTAATTTTAGCTTTCATATAGTACTCTGACCTCATTCCATGTGACTTCCTTCCCAACTTCAGCATCTATTCAACACACACACACACACACACACACACACACACACACACACACACACACATGGAATATTTAAAGAAGTGAAATTACAGATAAAATCATGGTGGAGTGGTAGACAAGAATGGTTTGTGTGCTCTAAGGTTTCCTCAGTTCCTTTTCTTTCCTTCCCTTTCCTGACCTCTGACCCTCAGTGTTCTTCTCTAGTAGAGACTTGTGGGAGGTGGTGGGGCATGGATCAAGCCTTAGAATATGATAGAGGTAAATTTCATGAGTCAGATGTCAGTGACTAAATATTGTATTCAAAATTCCCCTAGCCTCCCCCGGAGCTAGGAAATAGCATAATGGTTATAATTAGAACAGAGTTCTGGGTTAGAGAGATGGGAGAAAGGAAGCAAAGAGATTGATCTTATTGGTGAAATGTGTTCTTGCTGAGTGAATGTGGACAGCTGGTCACAAAACTTTCAAAAAAGAGGATGGCCCAATGTGGATCTGCTTCGGCCGGGGCAGTGCTAAATGTGTATTCCAGTTTTGCGTGTGTGTCTTTGGATAAATACTCAACAGTCTTTCATCTGTAACATGAAAGCTATTTATCTGTAAAGTATGTGACCATGATAGTCCCTTCCAGGCATCTGTGACTTTTGCATCTTTTTTCACCTGCAGTCAGAGTTGTAACTAATTAACTTGTAGACCTTTTTGGACTCTCAGTTCAAAGTCATTTGACATTAGCCACCTCTTTGAAATTAGTGCATGTGTCTATAAAATGAGGAACAAGCTTTAAATTTTACACCTTCTAAATAGCAATATTTTTATTATGAAGAATAACTTGGAGATGATTGACACGAACTAAATTTTACAAAATCATTTCAAAAATCCATGATCATCTAATCATTTCTTTGGACAGTAAATTTAAATGACTTTAAGCCTTAGATTTTCTTGATTTTTCTCTTAACTCCCAGAAATGGCTATAACGCAGGCAACCAGCAAGGCTTTAAAATGGCAGACAGATCTGAATTTCCTTCCCAAAAGTCCGTACAATAGAAAATAAAAATTGTGTGGGAGTCATCTCAGGTGCTAGTGTTTTCAAATTATGTAGTTGATTTTTAAGAATTATCAGTTGTCCATGAATTTCCTTCCACCTTGTCCCTACTTTCTTAGTCATTCAATAGTTTTATGATTCTAAATGATTATTTCATCAATTGAAGTCAACCTTAGTTGTCAGCTTTTTAGAAATTTAAATAATTGATTATATAAGCCTTAACCTTTAGCAGTTGTTTTGAATTATGGTTGATCTGGTTGATCTCCATACATGTTTACACATTTTTTGTCTAGAAAATTATCATGGTTCTGGGTTCCCTTTAAAATTAGGAGGCTTACAGAGCTAAAGGAGATAACGTGGACCATTAACAAATTGCTCTGTAAGTGAAAGATTTCTTCTTGTATCATAATTCTTAAGGTAACATGATAAAGAAAGGTTCGTTTTTTTAAATCTAAAATTTCTTCTACCTATTATCAAAATTTCTGGACAAAATATGGTAATTGGTAACTAAATAAGAGAATTAGAAACTGATGGTATATCAATGCTACATACTCAAGGTGCAGATCATGGTTTAATTTTATAAAGTCACGTACATAATTCACCATTTTCTTTTGTCTTTTATTTTCATATACATGTGTATTACAGTTCCTTGAACAAAAGTTCTCTCACTCTGGTTGTACAAGTTGAGAGACTTACATCTAACATAGTCTTCCCCCCCACCCTTTGTTCCAGAATACCTCTGGAATTGCATCAGAATTAGAAAAGAGTAGATTAGAAATTTTTGTAAGCCTAGAGTAGAAGTGTATGCTTCTAAAAGTGTATTTGGTAAGCATATGCAGGTTTCTAGAACATCATAAGTATTTGGCTTAGCACTGATGACATAACATTGTTCTAGCTAGGAGTTCAGACTTTAAACAATTCCAGGACTCCAAGCACCTGTCACCCTAAAACCACAACCTTTACTCTTATAAATAGAAAAGCTTCCTATTTAACTCACAGTGATTAATAGCCTTCTCAGTCTGTTACCGAGTGAGGGAAGCAAACAAAAATTAGGGAGGTAAGTATATATACAGTTGAAATATTTGATGGACTACATAAAGGAAGAAAACCTGAAAGATAAAATTGTGGATATATGTAGTGTTTCAGAATCATTTAAAGAAATGTTAAATTAGATAGTATCCATTGGAAAATAATTTTTAAGGAATATGTAGGAAATTTCACTTTTCTGAAAAAGTTGTAAGCACAGAAAACATCTTTCAAAGAAATAAAATATTACTTTCCCCATAGTGTCATGTAATAGATACAGTTGCCAACTTTGTTTCTACCTAGACTTGGATAGGAGGTAAGGCATTTGGGTGCGGGAGGAACATAAGTATAATTTTGAGTCTATAGAACAAGTTTTTAAATTCAGAAAGTGTATTGAGTTTGAATGGAGAATATCCATGCATATTTAAGCCTAAATTACCAATATATGAATTAACTGCTTTGCTAAAAATAAAATATTTCTTATTTTAGGTTGGCATTCTTCTGATAGGCTGCCTTGTTTCTAGGCCACTTTTTTTCATGGGTTGTTAAATGATCAGGGAATATAAAAGTTAATTGCTTACTCGAAAGCCTTTTAGAATGAGGCACAGGCATAAATAACAAATATGTAAAAAAAAGGAAGATGAATTTTAATTTTGAGGTACATATATAATAATTAGAAAAATATATCTCTTTTGAGAAAAATGATTTTTAAATAAATGGGATATTGAGATTTTAAAGAATTACAATGTGAACACTTTCATGTAGTGCTAAAAAAGCAGTTTAGAATAGTAAAACAACACAACATCTGTTCATTAATTATAAACATCAGAATACCACCTTGTGTTTATATAGCACCTGTTTCTTAGTAGGTGAGGGAACACTGACATGGGTTTTTTGTTTGTATTTTTGTTTTGTTTTGGCTTTTACTGTGTTATATTAATCAATACTTGTATACAACCATGTAGTTGGAAAGATGCAGGTCTTATTCATCTTTTAGTAATTTGAGACTAGGTTTAGGAACATAGATTACTTCTACTGGCAAAGAAATTCCTAATTTTCTCTAACATTGATTGTTAGAACAGCTGTTTTTTATTTTTCTCACCATTAGGTTTTTCTATAGATCTTTAGTGTAAGGAATCATTTTCTTCATTTTTTTTCAAATTTTTTTATGTTTATGAACTACTTACAAGGTAAAGAAAAAGTCTCAATATTTGGATTGGATTTTTTTTTTTCCACAGAAGTAAAATTCCTGAGTCTCACTAATTACCCATTACCCTCTCTAATTGACTAATTCTGCTGGTAAGGCCCCTTCCAGCAATTGCTGCCGTGACAATCGCCACCGATTTGAAACCCTTGGTTCTGTTTGGCCATGGAGGACATCTTACTAAACCACATTTCTCAGTGTTTTCAGACTCATTTACTCCACATAAAAAGCCAGTTTACTTCTTGGAACCCCAAGAGTGAGGTTTTTGTCTTCAAACTACCACTTTGTTGGACGGACCAGCGTTACAGATTCTGTTTATTGAATTTGCTTTGCAGAGTCTGTTAAAATATATTGGATGCTTCCAAGTCCTATTCGACCAACAGCAAACCCTCCCCAACTAAATTTTTCTGTATGCAACCTTTTATTTTAACACAGCATCATCATATAAATTGAACTTTAATATTTGTTTGTGCATGATCCTTACAAGTAATGGACATGGAGAATAAAATGAAAATGAACAGAAAAGAAAAATAAATTTACTTTCATGGTTTGCTAATTTTTAATAGTTACATTTAATTTTCTTTCAGAATTTAGCATGCAAGTAGTTTAGTCAATTAAGTTTACAGTGTTTTATACTAATACTGAATGCCACTAACTTATGAAAGTTTTAGTAAACTATAAGATTAACCAATATAGATTTTGTAAATTGCACTTTGTTTTTTAAAAGTTAAGTCTAGCACAATTTTTACTATGCTTTAAAATTCATAAAATACATAGAGAAGTCAACAACTTTGATGCAGTTTAAAGTAACTGCCAAACAAAAATAAATAAAAATGAGTTTGAAAGCTGTTAGCTAACAGCATCTGCCTTTTATATTAAGTAAGCTGTTGTGTACATAACATAATTTAATACAATGACATCTTCAGTCTTCTATTCTAGTTGATGTCTATTTGTTACTTTTCAAAAGTCCTGGAAAAATAAATTATGTTGTGCTTTTTAATAATGTAATAGACCTCTTCTTAATTGATGATCAACATTTTTCAGCTTTAACACATTCTATAAGATGTGGCTACTTATTTGCTTTGCGAGGTAAAGGAAAATCTGGCGTGACGTGAGTTATCACGCAATGATTTATGTCAAGCAGGAGCGCATGTACACCCCGATGCACAGTTTGTGCTAACAGCCATTGTGGGACCAGGCATTTCTCCAAAGCCCATGAGTTAGGGAATGATAATTATAGTAAGTCATATATTATAAATAATGCATGGATGTTCCGCAAGAGCTATGTGGGATTTCAGCCCATTTGCCAGAACATAGATGCATAATGATTTGTTTGGAGTTTGTTGCAGATGATTGATGTGCCGACTGTTGGCAATGATGTAAATTAATGTTGGGCTGCCTTGAACATTTCCGTGCAAGTGGTGATTTCTTCTCTTTTTCTGTGTGCTTGTCTAGTCTCGGCAGACACCTGAGGGTGAGTTCCTTCCCCTTGATCAACTTGAACTGGATGTAGGTTTTAGTACAGGGGCAGATCAACTTTTTCTTGTTTCCCCCCTCACGATTTGCCACGTGATCGATGCCAAAAGCCCCTTTTATGACCTATCCCAGCGAAGCATGCAAACCGAACAGTTCGAGATTGTCGTCATCCTAGAAGGCATTGTGGAAACAACTGGTGAGTAAAAACATAGCTATGCCATCAAGTTTCTTTATTCCATAATGACATTCTGTTATATGCACAGTACTTGTCATAAATTGGGTTAACTATCTCAGTTCACAATCATGAAAGTAATGGCTTGCCTCTTATTTGTTTGTAACGTTAAATTGATACTACTTTGAAAATGAAGATTTACTGTTGTGATGATTGCAGATGTAATGTTAACTGAGGAATACTCACTGTAAAAAAAAAGAAGAAAAAGAGGAGGAAACTGAGACGACTCCTTAGGAATGATTATGATGTTCTGTTTTAATTACAAACTTGGATTTCCTACAATCATAATTTTTCTTTAAAGATTTAAGGTTAAAGTAAATTCAGCATAATTAGTGAGCAGCCTGAACTCAGCGTGCACATTCTTGCCTTGGGGATGGTGATTTGGGGTGTCATTGATAGGCTACGATGTGCAGCCTCAGTGGAAAATTCCCTGTGTGTGTGCGCGTGTGCACGCGTGCTAGAGCAGCATTTTAATTTTAAAGTGGGTCAGTAGATTTCCCCAGCTGAACCCGGACCAAAATTGCTTTATAGGATTATTTTTATTCTCTTTCTGTTTTGGGATAAGCTACATGCTGTATGTTAATTTTTAAGATGCAATATAACTTTGGTATGCCCCGAAGACACAATTTGCTACTCTCTGAGGACAGTAGGGTTATCAAAAGAAACTATAAATCAGAGTATATTATCTGGGGCCTAAGCATTGCCCAGTTGGTTTGAAACCTGATAGGTATCTGAGACTAATAGTATTAACATAAATATATATATATATATATATATATATATATATATATATATATATATGTATGTGTGTATCTCAAATGAGTTTTAACCTTTCTACAAGTAGTGAGAAACTAAGAAATACTTTAGCTCTCATTTTTTTAACCAATACTATTTTAGCAATCTTAAAAGGCTAATTATTGTGTGTAAACTGTAATGTTATTGAAAGTAACATTGGCAGTAACATAGAAACATTCAAACTTAATACAAAGTGGGAGACTTTGCATAATCACAGATCTCTGACCTTGGCATAAAGCTTTGTCCCAGGAGCAGGGGGAGGAAAGCGCTGTAGTTCTTCTACACCTGTCACATATCACCTGTTTGAAATTTGGGCAAGATACTTAATCTCTGTAAGCTTCTTTTCTTTCTCTGAAAAGTAAGACTGATATAACCTTGAAGCTCTTGTCATACTGCTATTATTATAGTAATTACTTCAGTTTAAAAAATAAGATTTTTAAGAATATTGAGTAAAGATTTAACTCACAACATGATACCTGAAATTTGATTTCTGTGGACTATTTTATGGTTTAAATCCTCCATTTATTATTTTTTTTATTTAAAACTTAAATGATGCCATAGTATGTTTCTAAAATGCTACATATTGATGAAGAATGCCACCAATTTGCAAAGGCTTTTACTTCAAAAATCTTGACATTTCAATTTCAATTTTTATTCATCTTATTTGTTGAAGTAATACCATATTGTTAGAACTTAAACACCAGATGCTGCAGTTTTTATTGATTTATTTCTTATAGCATATGGTTCTCTCTTTGACACACCTGCTTATAACTTACCAATTGCTTCTTATTATTCTAATCGCTGACATGAGTGAAATTTCTGTTTCAGTTGACAGCCTTAGAAGTCTTTCATAGTTCCATCTATCTATCTATCTATCTATCTATCTATCTATCTATCTATCTATCATCTATCATCACTATCATCTATCCATCCATCCCTTTTTCTGTTTATCCCTAGTTTATGTTTATTTCTTAAGAATAAGAATATTTTCCTACAAAATTACAGTGCAATTATGAACAAAAAGTCAGGAAAATTGACAATGACACAATTCCTGCCATTCAGCTCCCTGTCCATGTTTAAATTTCATTAGTTGTCCTAGTAATTTCCATCATAGCGTTTCCTGTTGCCCCAGCTCAACATCAGCTTGAGGATTATGCCCTCCATTTGTTTGTTTGTCTTCAGAGTCTCAACATTTTTGAGATAACAACACAATTATTTTGTGTTGTTCTTGAACTTGACGTGCTTGAAGAGTGCAGGCCAGGTATTTTGTAGAGAGTCTCTCAAATTGTATTTTTCTGAGGTTTCCTTATTCGTTCTTTAGATGTTTGACACGGGCATCCTAAGGGAATATTGAAGCAGGTTGTTTTTAAAATTTTACCTTTGTATTCTTTTTCTTTTTTTTCCTTAAGGTTGTTTTCATTGTATAAATATTTAGGAAATTCTTTCCTTTGAAGTTCACCTTTGTATTTTTGACATAACTGATATGTCTTCATATTTGAAAGGATCATGGGTAGTATATAATATTTTACATAAGGCCATTAGGAGTTTTGTAACTTTATTCATAAGGACTTTTGATTTTATTTTAACATTTCCTCATATGTCCTTTTAAAAAATAAAACAGTGAACTGGCAGAGAATACGTTCCACAGAAAATGTGAAAACTTGACTGGAGACCAAATTTCTTATTTACAGATAGCCCTTTATGGAGAAGAATTGAAGTCTGCTTCCTCTTAACCTCTTAATTAAGCCTGTTTTCTAGATCTAATATAGCAAGACAAACAGCAAAAAAACATTACTCACAATTTATAGAATTTATTTCATGAAAAATTTATCTGACATTTTGTTTGTGTATTTGCTCTAGCTAATTAAATCCCACACTGTTCAAACTCTGTAAAATCTGTCTATTATTTGTAGACCTCTCTGAGCCTGGTAACTATAACAGAAACATTTTTATGTCCATTTGAACATTTATAATTTTACTGAAATATATTTAGATTCATCTTTAAGGATGCTTCCTTCTCTATCCTTTCATTTACAGTAAATTTTACTTTCTCATAATATTTATTGCTAGAATAAGGTAGTTAAAGCTCTTCTGGGATATTTTGAGACAGCAATTATACCATGTTTTTTGGAACACAGCCTTGTGAATACATTTTTGTTTATTCATGGTAACTTTCAGTCCTATTTAACTTTAAAATATTAAGTTTTTATCATTTGTTTATTAAACAATTACTGGAATGCATACTATTTGCTTGAAAGTATTTGAAATGTTGGCATTATAGTGGTGACCAAAACAGACAGAATCTCTTTCCTTATGGTGGTTATATTTTAATTGGAAGAGGCAGATAGCAAAACAACAACAACAACAACAAAAATAGCATGCAAGGTATTATCAGATAATAATGTGTTAGGAATAAAAAAGCAAAACAAGGTGATGGGAAAAAGAGTGCATTCAAGGCTACTTTAGGCTGATGATTAAGAACAGTTTCTGTGAGGAGGTGGCACCTAAGCAGAGACCTGTCAAGAAGGAATTCCTGGACCCAGCTGGGAGGAGAGCATGACAGGCACTGTGAAAACTGGTACAGGGCCCCTGAGTTGGGAGTCAGCATGAATGATTTCAAGATTTTTTTTAAAAAAACAACAACATGGAGGTGGTTGGAGCAGATAAACAATGTGGAGAGTTGGGTGAGAAGTCAGAGGGGTGGAGGGGCCACCTCTGCACTGCCGATAATTGCATTGCACCAATAAGGAGTGTTGAGATTTGATTAAAAAACAAAGCCTATATTTATATAAAAGCAATAATTTAGTAATCTCAAACTGTATATAACAAAATAAAAAGCAACACCTTTTTTTTTTTCCTGCTGGGTTGCGTGTAGTTTATTTAAAAATGTGTGACCCTAATGTCTTGGAAATGAATAAAACTTTAGACAGTTACTACTTTTTTTTCTGTGTATATTAATGGCAATACCCACCTCATCCCCACTTTGTTCCAATGTTCACACACACACACACACACACACACACACACACACACACACACACACACTGTTCACTTCACAGCAGTCCTCAGATAAGAATCTTCTGATCTCATTTAGTTTTTGTTTCTTCCCATTCCTGTTGTCTCAGCAGGAGTGCTTGGCAGGGAAGGGGAGGTGAGAAATTAGAAGCTTTCTAATTTCCTTGGAAATTTCAGCTTTCAGCTCAACACTCGCAATAATTACTTTCCCTCCTTCCTTGGAAATACTCCTCAGTGATCAGACTCAGCCATTGTTGCCCTCCTTGCTTCAAATGAGTTGGATTTTCACTCCCAACAAGGAACACGGAATTTACCTCTTCATTAATCACCTTTACTTCTTTGCTAATCCAGCAAATTCCTAAACACAGGTTACCTCTAACTCTTGCTCTCTTTGCAGCTTCTCCCAGGAGAGAGAGCACTGCTAGAGGCAAACAGCATTGCAGATTTGTCTCATTAGAACTGGATGCTTTCAAACTTCAATCTGCTCTCTGCTGCTATTTGGCAGTCTTTTTAATTGTCTTTTCTGTACTCCCAGGCGCTCTCCTCATGGGAGCTATTTTAGACCTTTTCTGTGTTTCCATGCCCCCAGTCCCAGCTGTCCTATCCTTTTCTTGGCATATCATCCCTCCACCTAGTCTATCAAAAAGAATGTAGCACTTCAATTTCTGTTTTTATTTTTACTTTCATTAATCCTTTCCTCATTGTGATCTTCTCCTTTTCTTCCCTGATGTCTGTGGGGGGAAGTATCTTTATTCTTCTTCAATATTATCTCTATAGCTAGTTCTGTTTCCCACCACCTGTGACTCAGACTCACTGATGCTTCAATACTGACCTAATACCTAAAATCCCATTGAGTCTACTTGCTGTCACACATTTCCAGGTCTTTCCACATGAAAAAAAAACAAAGTACAAAATCTCATTATTTGTCCTTTTATTCTCAAGGTTCTTCCTGGGATACAGAAACACCACATTCTCCCTCCCACTTCTGATTTATGTTTTCCAATTTTTCCTTATATCCTGCATCGCTATCTCTTCTTCCTCCTCCTCTCGCATAAATGTTTCCTGCATCTCTGTCCTCGCTTTCTTCCCTTTAGAGTCAAGATACATACCCCCCTTTTTTTTTTATAAATGAGCTCACAAAGTACCCACAAGTCCATCATTCCTTTTATCTCCAGCCATAAA